CAAAGGACCGTCAATGTGATTTCTCACATCTTATAAAGGCTCTAGAGGGGACCCAGGAAGCTACAGTGAGTTTAACTTCTGTTTATGTAAAACTGGTAGAAACAATAATAATAAAAAAATATATATTGTTCAGCATATAGATGAACATGACTTGCTGGCGAAGAATCAACATGGGCTTTGTCAAAGGGAAATCATGCCTCCCCAGCCCACAACAGTCCTTTGAAGGTGTCAATAAGCAGGTAGATGACGCTGATCAAGTTGACAGTATATTTGGACTTCCAAAAATCCTTTGACAAAGTCTTCCCATCAGAGGCTCTTAAGTAGTCACAGGATTACAGGGAAGGTTCAATCATGGACCAGAAATTTGCTTAAAGGTAGAAAACAAATAGTGAGTATAACTGGTCTGTTTTCAGGACAGAAAAAAGTAAACCATGGGATATCTGTGTTGGGTCCGGTGTTATTTAACACATTCATAAATGATCTGGAAACCAGGGTGAGTAGCAAGATGGCCAGATTTGCAGATGACATAAAAGTATGCAAATTGGTAAAGACGAAGGCAGATTGTGAAGAACTGCAGAAGGAACTGGCACTATTGATCAAATGGCCAACTAAATGGCAGAGCAAATTCAATTTAGTTAAGTGCAAAGTGATGCACCTGGCCAAAAAAACCCCAACGATACCTACACTATCTATGATGGGCTGTATATTAGTTGTTACCACACAGGAAAGAGATCTGAGAGTCACTGTGGACCATTCACTTAAAAGACCAGCTCAGTGATCAGAAGCCATCAAAGAGGCAAACAAAATATTAGGGACTATAAACAAAACAGAAAATATTATTATCCCCCTGTATAAATTTATGGTGGGTCCACATCTTGAATACTATGCCCAGTTTTGGTCCCCACAACTCAAAATGGATACAGAAGAACTAGAGAAGGTACAGGGAACAGCAACAAGGATGATTAGTGGTACACAGAGGCTTTCATAAGACAAGAAACTAAAGAAGCTAGCCCTATTCAGTTCAGAAAGACAGACACTTAAAAGTGGACATTGAAAGATTTACAAAATACTAAAACAGTAAAGAGAAAGTAAATAGGGATTTATTATTTACTATCTCTCCCATTAAACGGACTAGGAGCTATAAAATGAAGCTAGTAAGTAGTAAGATTAAAACTAACAAAAGGAAATGCTTTTTAACACAATCTGTAATTAAAATGTGGAACTCATTGCTACAAGATGAGGAGGCTGACAGTTTAGCCAGATTCAAAAAGTATTGGATAAATTCTTGCAGCCAAGGTGCATCAGTAGCTATTAAGCATGTGAGTCAGGAATACAATCTCACAACTTCCTAGGTCCCAAATGCTGGAGGTGGTAAGCAGGAAAGGAAAAGCAGAAAAAGCCCTGTTCACTCTCTTTTTCAACATTACTCTCTGCCACTGTGATACAAGATACTAGGCAAGATGACCCCATTAAATGGCAGCTCTTATGTTAGACTTTAAAGTCACTCACTCTGCAGAAAATGATAGCTAGTGAGCAAAAAAACTTATAAATATATATAGATATCTATAGATATTCCTTGACTGAAATTAAACTCAACTCAAATTTAAGAGTTTAACTGAGGTTAAACATACTAGATACTAGAAGAATTAAGACAAGCTGTCAGTCAATTTCTACCCTGTGCAATACTGAAAATCAAAAACAAAGTACAACTAAACTAGTATAAGTATCAAGTTTTCGGATTACTCAGTGAGCCAAGCTTCTTCAGAAAGACCTGTTTTAAGAGCTATAGTTCAAGGACCTGGGAATATTAATCAAAACACTGATGCTAACTGCATCAGGCAGCTAACTAAATGAGCTGCATGCATAATTTTCATTAAGAACAAGAAGATATTTTTTAGTCTCCATTAAAGAGACTGGAATCATTGGTAATAATCACAAACATTTATGCCCAATGGTCTGATTCAAGTTAAATGGTCTGATTTTGATAATACTGATCTGCTAGAAAGCAGCATGAATAAGCCTATTAGCTGGAAGCACATTAAAGATGTGAAACCTGACCTCGTGATTAACATCTCTGTAAGTAAATGTCTATTTTCCCCCAACACCAGAGATCTTTGAATAAAAAAGATAATCCAGTAAATGAAGAATACATCAACAGCACGTTAGAATATTGATTCTCTACTTACAGCATTGTATATAAAACAAATATATATATTTACAATGGAAGTGCTGTGTCAGCCATAAATAAAAACCCTATTTTCAAGCACTCATAACATTCTGGAAAACACTTCTCCCCCACCCCCCAAAAAAAGAAATATCTCATTCTTCTTCCTTAGCCTAGGGATGATTTTGACTCTATCTCCTTTTCCTTTCCTTCATTTGTTAGTGTGTTGTCTTTAAAAAAAAAAAAGAGAGAGAGAGATTGGAGGCATAGGGGAGGGGGGATTAATAAAAATCCACTTAGCTGTTTAAAAGCAAAGTAAGTGGAGAAGAGGGATATTTTTCACAGGCTAAAGATTACGGGGAAGCATTTTTAGTTACTGCATGATGTGGAGAATGTGAATCATCCTTGTCATTTGAGGAAGAGGCTCACAGTTAAGGAATAAGACAGACAGCTCAGTGGGAGGAAAAGATGGATCAATAGAGAAGACTTGCACAGGGCAAATTCATCTGTTGTCCTTAAACTCAGCCCTGGAGGGGAAAAAAAGACCACTGCATGTTTTGCTTAGAATGCTCCCCTGCTCAGTGGTGCACAGGATCTGCAAAGTCTTCTGGGCCATTTCAGCATGTGCAGGAATCAGCAAGCAGTAGGGCTATTTCTTCATTCCCCATACATCGTGCAGGAGTTATCTGGAACAGTCCTACACTGATAATTTAGAGGGTAAAAACTGAGTAGACAAAAGGTGCCTGGAGAAGAATTAGTGAGCATATCAGCAAGAAGGAGCAGAGACTAGTCCAGCCTATAGCTGTTGATATAGAGCCAAGGGATAGAGGAATGTGCTGTCGATCCAGGATACAAGTATGTATGCCTTTATGATGTACTGAATTATCCATTTTAAGAGACTATCACTTGCTACAAGGAGGATAAATAACTGAACAAATCAGTGGCCAGACAAATTGAAGACAGATTCCCATTGACAGTACATGCATTCGGGGAGGTTAAGGGAAGGTTAGACTGAGGTAAAAATAACCATCCAATCTAAGGTAAGCTTGGGGCTAGCAGAGGGGCTTAGGGGAATCATGGGGTATGCAGAGTTGGTGGAGGGAGTTGGGAGATCGGGGGGTCTAGCAGGGTCTGCAGGGGAGTTGCTGGGATCTGGGCAGGTTTAACAAGATTAGAGGGGCTAGTGAGGTCAGTGTGGGGGGTCAGAGGGATTGTGGGGGGGCAGACGTTCTCCAATCCTGCCAACCCCCCCCTCCAGATTTCTCCCCCCCACCTCCGATGACACCAAACTGTCCCCAGTCCCATAAACTGTTCCTAGGGCCAGTTTTACGGATGCTCACCAGTCCCAGGAGCTTGACTGAAGTCAGTCGGGTGCATGAAGGTCCAGGCAGATCAGTAGGGTGCACCCCGCTTGAGACCAGGGGCGACTTTTAGTCCCCCCTGACCTACCCCACCCCTAGATGAACACACCCTTCAATAAGCCAACTCCCCCAATCCCACTCACCTTTTCCCCTAACTGATAGACTTACTTCCATCAGCTCCTAGACCCAGCGAATGCCAATAAAATTGGCACCAGAAGCACCTTGCAGGTTGTGGGGTTGTCAGGCTTGAAGGAGGGGGGTTGGCTGGCCCATGATGGGTGGCTGTCATTTGTGGAGGGAGGGGCCAGGGGGCTAAAATAACCCAGTGCCAGGAAGTGGTGAACATCAGGAAAAGCTCATCCCCAAGACTGGAACCAGTGGCTGGGAACTGGGGCTGCACTGAAAACTGTAGATAAATTGAGGTAAATCAGACTCACTGAACCCAATCTAAGTTAGACTACCTCCGAGACAGGGTTAACTTGGATCAGGACAGCCATTTTTAGAATGCTCTAACCTTCCTGAATTTCTGTACAGTTCACACTTAGATGAAGCTAACCAGGGATCTAAGTATAAGGTCTACACCTAGGCAAACTATGATCAGGTGTCCATTTTTAAACACAACCTAACCTCCTCTTATGCACCCTGAACATCTGCACCTAGCCTGAGAGGTTATCAATCTGACAACCAAGACGTTTTGCCTGACTCAAAGAATACAAACTAAATTTTTCCAGGGTTCAGAATACTTTTTCAAAATATTTAAAACATTACTTCCTTCAAAAATGTTAAAAAGGCTTCCAGAATTAGAGCACTCAAATGCCAGGAGCATTTACTAGGAGGATATGAGGGGTACAAATGCCAACCCATAGAAAGACTAAGCCATCTTATTATGGATATCAGATCTTCCTGCCAGCATTCTAGGTACATGGAAAGCAGAATGCATCAGCCTTGCTTGCAATATCCTTGGTTATGTTTTTTGGAATGTTTATTATCTGGGGATTGCTTGAAAATGTATTAAATACCAAATCCTCCATTATCCTAGTCCCATTGATTGTGTAAGGCCTAACTGAGAACCAAAGAACCTGACCCAGAGTAAACCAGAGATAATATAAAAAATAATGGAAGCATCAAATGTAGAAAATAAAATCATAAAATGCACCAGATAGTATCTGTTCAAATTCTACAAACATGCATTTTAGTAAATGTTAGAGAAGTTCTTTGTTTTACCATTTAAAAAAAAATTGGACAAACATCTACTGCTGTTAAAGCTCTTAAAATACTATCACGTTAGTTTGTTCACTAGGCCTGCCAGCACCCCTTCCTGGTCATTAAAAAACCTAACTTAAGTTAGTATGATTTCTGAAACCAAAACTTTCAGAAGTCCTGAAATGTTGATGTTTACTTCTAAAAATAAATAAATTGGAAAACCAATTAATTAATATATATGAAATACAATACTAAACTTTTAGCTTGCTTACCTTCATCATAAATTTCTGCAGAGACATGGGGAAAAAAAGAGAAAATATGAAATAAGCATTTGGTCTCAGATACTTAAAAATGTGATTTGTTTTCCTTAACACGGTGAGCAGCATACAGAGAATTACAAATTGCATTTAAAAGCTGTATTTACCTCTACACTTTTCACATAGTTATAGCACCTGCTAGAAAGCAAAACAGATGCTCAGAATAACAGATCGTAACTTATTGGTACAATAATTTTCTCAACTTTCTCTATTACATTAAGTCACACATCACATTAAATAGTTACTAGTGTCTAAAGATCAAAACAGTGCAATTAAGGTAGGTATTACACTTGATATATTTTAATATGTACTCTACAAATGCATGGTACTTCAAAATAGTTTTGTACAGGATTATGAAGCAGACAGAAACAACTGGACTATTATGTGCCTATGTTATTAAATATGCAAATACATAATAAACTAAAAAAAAAGTCTACTGATCTCTCATATAAAGCATTTCTAAGAAATTATTCCAATGCCATACACACTGTGATGCCACAGAACTGTGGAAAACCTTTGAAAGTTAATTTTTATACAACTTTTCAAGGATATAAAAGTTATTGTACATATAGCATACTCAACAAATATGTCTCTTTATGATGGTCTAGTGGCTGGGCTTTTGGTCTTTCTATCACCTCAGGCATCAGCTCACGGTTTTTTGGATTTTTTTTTCCTTGGGGGAGGTGGGGTATGTGGTACTTCACCTAACATGCAGGTTACTCTGAAGTATGACAGTAATTCCAACTGAAATCCTTAATGATTGTGTGTGTGTGTATGTGCATCTATTAAAAAAATGCTGGTCATTCCTCCCTTTGTTCAATGGTACTATACAATCCTTTTAATGCATCTTAAAACTGAGGTTGTCTGTGGGCATTGAATAATAGATTTGATTAAAAATTATAAACCATTTGATTATTTTCTGTTCATATAGGAATCATCATACTGGGATACTTATAGGTGTGCAATACAGCTCTGTACAGAAGTTTTGAACATTGAATATTTTTCAGATGAGATAGCATGTAAAAGTCCTAAACATTTGTCACTGAAGATCCTGGGAGTCTTTCTGAAAAAGGTGGAATATATCCCAATTTGATTCCAGTTTGGATAATCATTTTGTATCTACGTAAATCCCCTATCATCTACTACATATGGTATTTTTGGTACCAGTCCAGGAAGAGAATCAAAGCCTATATAAAAGGGGTTTGCTTCAGATAAATCAGATCTATTTCCAGATCCAGATCTCAAAATTCTCTACCTCAAACAGCCTAGTCTGTCTCCTAGTTGAATGTGGCTACTAACAACATAAATGGAGACATCCCAGATATTCCCTTCGCAGGTTTTGGGCCTACTAGAGATGAGCAATATAATGAACCATTGGCCAGTGATCTGCCAATAATACCAGACCTCCAACATAGCCATCTGTACAGAAAAAAAAAAGCTATGGAAGTTCTCTCTAGTGACTACAGGGGTACAGAGACCCTTTTGGTTTCTGGTACCCATCTGTGAAGCTAACCCATGGCTTTGTAGCTTCTTGTAGCATTTAGGGCAATATGGAATTGGGCCTTTAATCCCAAAAAAATGTCATGTAGTATTTTTATATTGCTGTTTCTAAAATTTAACAATTCACTACATCATCGTCTATGTGACAGTTATTAGATTAGAAATCAATGTGACATTGATTAGAAAAGAAGTGCTAGAAAAATACTAGTCTCAAGTGTGTTTTAAACTATTTTTTTATTGCAAGTTAGCTCCAGGAATTAAGCAGAAGAGACTGTAAAATGGAAGTGGATAATATGCTACATTCTAGCAGCAAGCAATCATTAATTCCTGGTGTTGCATAGGCCAGCTTGAGAATTTCAAGTCTATACTACTGCACTGAGTGGTAAAAGGGAAAGGATTCCAAAAATAAAATTAGAAAGACATGTCTAATGTTGCATTAAAAAAAAAAAAACAGTGCTCACTTCAATTCATTTTTGTAGAGAGAAATACATTTAGAAAACCATCACATTAATTTCCCTTAAGCGCATGAATGGGAAATGAGCTGCAGTCCAAGCCTATCATTTTACACAATACAGTTAAATAGGACTTCCAGCCTTGGTTAAAATGATACCTTTCAGTGTTGGTGTTTAAAATAGTACTTCCATATTAAACATAACTCGTTAAAGAATTATTTATCTGGAGCTAATGTGGTTGTATTACCTTCCCTAAATTGTCATTCAAGCCATCATGGAGTACCTGTGCTCACACTTTATGATATTGCTTTAACCCAGGAGTAGGTTACATTATTTTGATCAGTGAGCTACTTAACCACTACTGGTGAGGTCTCAAGGGCTGCACACACAAAATATTTAAGATATCATTTTAACAAATTATAAATAAAAATCAAACATTTTCTATAACATATTTTATTTCAAAAAATAAATGTGTCCTGATTTATGTTTTAGTGAGTAGTGTATATAGAGGTGATTGCATAATATCTCAAAATAAAATCTTACTCTTGTATATTGTGTGTGGGGAGGGATATCGGGGAGTTTATGTTTGGGTGGGTGTGCAGGGTGTGGGGGGTTGGGTGTGTGAGGCCACCCACATGCTAGGTCCCAGGAACTGGCCAGGGGTTGGGGGCAGGAGGGCAGGAGGAGGGGCAGGGGCACATGCAGCAGTGCAGGTGGTCCACCCCCCCTCACCCCCCGCTGCACATATGTCCCACGGTTCCCCCCGCAGTGCTCCACTTTGGGCCAAAACCCGACTGCTCCTACCGGCGGCAGATGATGTCATATTCCCATCCGTACCTGCCCTACACCAGCTGATGGCACCACCCCAGCCAGCACAGCTGTCCAGCAGGGCTGTTGCCACTGCTACTGCAACCACCCAGGTACTGCTCAGCTCCCCATTTCTCCAGGGGCTCGTCCGGCTCCTCCTGCCCCATGTAACTCTGCCCACCTGGCATAATGAGCACGCACCTGCAGGCAACTGAGAGGGTGGAAGGAGCTAGAGCCTTGTGCACTGGAGCAGGAGTCACCCAGCTGAAGCTGCAGCTTCCCCCCAGCCTGGAGCAGTGAAGAAGGGACAGGAGGAGGAGCTGCTAGAGGTAGTGGGCTTGAGGGAGCCTAGCAGTACCCAGGCAGTGGCAGTACCAGTGGCAGCAGCCCTGCCAGGAAGCTGTGCGCACTTGCTGGGGCCAGCATGGGGCCAGTGTGGTGCCAAAGCTACCATGGAGCTGAGGATGGCATCCCAAGTTAAGGATAACAAAAAATTGTTTTTTAGATATGTAGGGAGTAAAAGGAAGGCCCAGGGTGGAATAGGACGTCTACTAAATGGGAATAAGCAATTGGTGATGGACAGGGGGGACAAGGCTGAACTCCTCAATGAGTTCTTTGCCTCTGTTCCTAAGTGAGGGGAAAGACAAGTCTCTCACTGGGATTGTAGAGGCAGCATCAGGGCACCAGACCACCAAGCGTAGACCCTGAGATGGTGCAGAGTCACTTGGAGAAACTGGATGCATTTAAGTCGGCAGGCCCGGATGAGCTCCATCCAAAGGTACTGAAGGCACTGGCTGACGTCATTGCACAGCCACTGGCAAGAATATTTGAGCACTCGTGGTGCATGGGCGAGGTCCCAGAGGACTGGAACAGGGCCATTGTGGTCCCTATTTTCAAGAAGGGGAGGAAGGAGGATCCAGGCAACTACAGGCCAGTCAGTCTCACCTCCATCCTTGGTAAAGTCTTTGAAAAGATTATTAAGGCTCATATATGTGAGAGCCCAGCAGGAAAAATTATGCTGAGGGGAAACCAGCACGGGTTCGTAGCAGGTAGATCATGCCTGACTAATCTAGTCTCTTTTTATGACCAGGTTACAAAACACCTGGACGCAGGAGTAGGGGTTGATGTCGTTTACTTAGACTTCAGGAAGGCCTTCGATACGGTATCCCACCCCATACTGGTGAACAAGTTAAGAGGCTGTGACTTGGATGACTACACAGTCC